CTAAACACACTTGATCTATTTTGGGTAACTACACATTCAAGAAGTACTGTGGCAAACAATGGACAAGCTTCATGCGTAGCAGAGAATGCATTAAGTTATTGTACAAAACATACAGGGGAATACAGTAATCATGACTGCCTCTAATGAAATTCACAGGTACTAGTAGCCAAATGAGTCTAAATTTTGACGTTTCAGTTCTTAAGTTGACAAAAGATCAGATGAATAATTTATTTGCAATAGCTTGCTTATATTTGCAAACTCGTCTAGAAACTGAGAAGTCTTCTAGAACTTAGGCCACATCTTCCACCGACTACAACACTGAAGTGGAACGTAATCTAGACTTCTCATAAACCAGCAGTTGTAATTCATTTCTTTTAATCTTTCACAGACCAACAATAGTCATATTGCCTTAGAGAAAAAGTTACCACATTGGACAATATTCTCTCATCTCTACCTTCTGTATGAACATAGCTCCTAGCATAACAAATTGAACAAAGACTAACCTTTAAAAAAAAAAAAAAAACAGCTATCATAGGCTTAACATCAAAAGTTTTGGAAACATCTACACAACTTGCTGGTTAAGTCCAGCAAGAGTTCATGGTGCTTCAGTAGTTAGGTGAGAGTTACTTTTAAAGGTAATGCAGGAAAGTGAATGGCAAAGAAGTTCAGAAGCATAAACGCCCCATACCTTCCCAACCGTGGAGAAGCAAGACACCTTTCAGCTTTGTTTTCTCTCAAAATTTCAACATACAAAACTGCAATAACGTGATTTAACTCCTTCTCAACGGAAATATAAAATATGGTGCTTCTCTCAACTAGTTGAGGGCTGACATTTCTCATCTTTTCCAGTACAGGCTAAGATGATTTCTCTCTGAAAATGTTTCATGTTTCAAAATTTCAGCAAAGGAAAGCTAAGGTACAAAATATGCAGTTCAACATACATGACAAAAATCAAAAAATAAAATGAAGTTTACTAAAGAGGGGAAAAAAGTAGAAGTAAACCAGTGGTAGCATTCTGACCAGCACGAGAAAGCACAGGACAGGGAGTTGAGTTACTCCTTATAGACGGATGGAAGGAAGAGGAGCTCAGGTCACTAAAGTCAGGTCCTAACTTTAATTCAGAACTAGAACAAAGCATTGCACCTAACGCATACTAGAGAGAACACTGCTTAAGAAAGAGAACGTAACTACCTCAATTTGCTACTGGTGCAATGCAGGAATTATGCAGGCTGGCATACTATACAGGTTTTGGGCTATGTGGATCAATGATACCCATGCTTAGTCTACACAACAAAACACCCTTTCTGCAAACACGTTGCAATATTTGCCTTAGCCTCGCCAAAAAGAGAACTAGTTTCTCCTTCTTGTCTCAAACACGTTCGCAAACAAGCCATCCGACTGGGATGCTCGGGATTCTGCCGTAAGTCAGCAATAGTAAAAAGGCCTCTTCCTCTGTGATACTTCTTGACCAACAGCCCTGAAGATTCATCCTGCTTAAAAAAATAAATATTTGAATAAAAATACTCAGTATGATATGCCTATTAATTAGTGCTTGTTAAATAATTGCTTCTTAAATTTTGCAGAATTAAAAGCCGGCTACAATAACAACAAAAGATCTATTAGAAAGAAAAATATTCAAGTCCAATGGGCAGAGCTTGTACCAAGTGCAGGTTAACAAGATAAACAGCTTCCCTTGTTTTGCAGACTATTTAAAAGGATCTTGAAAAAACAAGTGTTACTTTAAATTGGTTCATTTCAACCATAGAAAACCTGCATTAGACAAACATCAAGCAAAAACTTAAACTCTTTAAGAGCTCCATACAAGCTTCATTGTGCAAAAAAATCCCACAAGAATACTGAAGCACAGGTAACAAATGTATTCCTAGATATGTCATGATAACCTAATTAGAAGTATCAGAAGAGACTCAGAAAATTTGTCCCCTCACATGGGAGCTTTCAAAAGACAATACTTTACCTGAAAAGTACTGTTTTGGATCCAGGTGTTGCATTCCCTTTCCCTGATACTGCTAATTCTTGCTAATTTTGACAGATAAGCATTTTTCAAAAGCCTACATATCAATGATGCCATTAGCACAGTCTGCCTCACGTCACAGGTAGATCACAACACAGCACCACAGTCCTTTTTAATCCAAAACACTAAGCATCAAACACAAGGCTATCTGTGTCAGAAAAGATGAGGATGCACTAGTTCCAAAATAAACCTGGAAATTGATATTTGAACGTTAAACATTGAGGCTTTTACATCAACGAGCTGCATGCCACACACGAGTTCAAGTTAACTGCTGACACCTAGGTAAGCACGATTCACATTCTGGATTTAAAACGTTAAAGACAGCCGCAAAGGGAGTCTCCCTGAGCATACACAGCCAACATAAAGCAAAACTAGAAGAGACACCGTCCTCTGCCATAAGCTGCTGAACGCGTGGATCCCTAGGGCTGTCTTCACAGAGCTGGTGGAGAGACACAAGCGGCGGGAAGCCCCCCCTCCCCCCGCCGCAGAGCGCTGCGCGCCGGTGCGGACA